TTGAACTCCACTAAGTCTGAGCTGCTCACTGTGATGCTCACATTAGACACTGGCTCTGAGGGAGGGGGACAGCACATGTTAGTCTACATATGAAAATAAAGCGTGGCTGGTGTTACAGATTGTTCACTAACAGTAAAAAACACTTTGTTTAACTGATAACAGATGAAATGCCAAAAGGGTGCCTTTGTCCCTCAAGGAAAATAGACTCAAAAATTCTAACAAGCTTCTGCCAATATTAGTTTTGAATTCATGTGCTCATTAAATAAATAGTGAATAATAATGTGTGGCAGGTTGGGGTATATGCCACTTTTCCTCGCAGGCACACCTACAGTTGTGGATAAAATTGTTGGTACCCCTCTGACAATGAAAGAAAAATCAGCAATAATCACGGAAATAACTTGAAACCTTGAGAAAAAAGCAATAAAATATAAAAAACTAAAAAACAAAAAACACTTTGTTTAACTGATAACAGATGAAATGCCAAAAGGGTGACTTTGTTCCCCAAGGAAAATAGACTCAAAAATTCTAACAAGCTTCTGTCAATTTTTAACTCATCTGCTCATGAAATAAATAGTGAATAATAATGCAACATTTATAATTACAATAAAGTGCCAGTGTAGAGGTTCCATTTTTCATGCCACTTAATATCCATAAAGACGTAGTGTAATTTAGAAAAGCTTAATTTAGTAGCATAAGTAGTTTAACAGTTCTTACCAAATGTCGTACAAAGAATAATCACTTTGAAATACATAACTTGTGTAGATTGTGCCTTCACCTGTACACAGCAGTATAATGTGGCATCAGGAAGGACCGTTGTGTTTTAACATTTGCTAACTGTTCCTTGATTAATCATTTCCACTTCTCTCACACACACACACACACACTCACACACACACTCACACTCACACACACACACACACACACACACACACACTCACACACACTCACACACACACACACACACGAACACCCCCACACACACACACACTCACACACACGAACACCCCCCCCCCCACCCACACACACACACACACACACACACACACACACACTCACACACACACGAACAGTGTACAAATTAATGTTTTAATGTTTCATCCAGAATGTTCTACAGATGGACTCCTTGACACATCAGTCTTCTCCTCACATGAGCTTTGTGAAACAGCCTGCTCCTCTCAGATTGTCCTCTCTCTCTCTGGGTTTGAACATCTCCTGGATTCTCTGAGGGAGCAGATCATCATCATCATCATCATCATCATCAACATCAATATTATTATTATTATTATTATTATTATTATTATTATTAGGCCCGAGCGCCATGGGTGGTGTTGGGCCTATTGTTATTGTTCAGCAGTGCTTCACTCATGTCAGTGACTGGTGCCAGTGACATGGCACAGTGGCATTGCCCGTGGCCGCGACAGCTGCCTAATTGTTATTGTTCACCCCCGAAACGTAGGGCGCACTTGACAAGTGCGGCCGCGAAAACAGAGCGCTTCGAGCTCTGTTTTCTGTTGTCTCTGTTGTCTCCCCTTATGAAACACTCAGTGCCACTCAATAGTGACACTCATGGTATCCAATAGTACAGACTGGCATTGCCCGTTGCCGCGATAGCAGCATAATTGTAATCGTTAACTCGTAAACGCCAAAAACGTGCACTGGGTATGTGAGTAATCGAAGAGGTCAATGACGAGTGCAACGAGGAGGAGGTGGTACAGGAGGCTGTTCTGTGTCTAGACTCTCTGTCAGCCTCCCTCACTGTTGTGCACAGAAACAATAAAGCAGAGCAAAACAAAACAATGGGCAAAATCGTCGAAAATACGTTTTAAACTTTGAACTTTAGAAAACTTGCATGAATTATGTCTCTCTCTTAGTTCGTAGTCTGATACTGGAATGGGAATTCGTTCGTTTAGGATAATCTCGCAGACGTTTATGACAAAACTTTTAAATCTATAGCGTATTGTGCGAAATGTCTGTAGCTGAGACGAATAACATAACAGAAACATGGGAGGTAAGAACACTAGATAACTGTCCATGTGTCTTAATACTGTAGAAATGTATTTTCATTATGCTAAAGAGCGGCACACTAAGAGAAAATTAATTTAGTAGTAGTAGTAGTAGTAGTAGGTATATTGGCATTTCTTGTGGATTATCAGTAAGTAGTGGGAAGAATTGTGAATGGAGCGCTGGTGTGACTTAGGAGGCCACATATTTAACAAGGTGGTACTTCTGAAAAGTTTGATAAGAAATCTTACATAAAGAATTGCATATATCTCATTGTTCAAGTTCAAACCAAAATTGCTGTTGATTTGATGTTGCACTGCTGAAATATGTTCAAATATGACTTTGTTTCAAAATAATAGTATAGTTAAATTTAATTTAAATTTGGTACACAGATTCATCATGGGACTAGGAACAAAAAAGTATATTGTGACCAGGCCTCCCTGCCAAACCAGAAGTCCACCATCTTGGATTAAAAAAAAATCAGCACATACAGAAATTGAGAAAAAATTTACGGTTCGGTTAAGATTAGGTTAAGGTTAGGATTAGGTTAGGGGTAAGGTTTGGCCTAAGGTTAGGGCTACAGGTAGGAGTTCAGGTGGGTTTAGGAGTTAGGGTTAATTTAGGAGTTAGATCAGGGGTGTCAAACTCATTTTTGTCCGGGGGCCGTATCCAACCAACTTTGATCCCAAAGGGGCCGGATCAAAAAACTCATGTCATATAAACCCCAAAAATAACAATAAGTTTAAATATTTGTGCAGAGAAACACAAATCTACTACAGAAATCTTTTTTAATTGATGAACTCTTTCTTTTACAAAATATTATAATATTCTGAACAACCTGAAACTTTAAGAAAAATACAATTTCAACACAATGTTTTAACATGAACTTGTCTGTAAACAGGAATAAGTCCATTTTTGTTGTAAAATCCTGCACTCGGCTCCACTTTTCTCATGTTGGACATTTTTCTGATGAGGGTGTCACGGTCAACAGTCAAAACGATCGTCCTTTAAGAGCGTTTGGAAAGAGACAAGTCTTCATTTGTGCTGCTCTGGTGGGAGGGGCCACGTACAGAGACGCTGGAGATGCTGCTATGCTAAGAAAATTACCAATATTTTAATAGAAAATATAATTAAAATATTTTAGTAGAAAATCACCCAAGGGCCACATTAAAGGTCTTGGAGGGCCGCCTGGCCTGGTCTGGCCCCCTGGCCTTATGTTTGACACCTGTGAGTTAGATCAAGGGGTAAGGTGCATTTGTGGGGCACGGCATGTGCATTGTTCGATGTGGAGTGGGCGCGGCATAGGCTCGAGCGAGGGCCGATCATCGCCGCTTGCGGCTATATTTATTATTATTATTAATATTATTATTATGATGATCCTTAAACATCACAAGTGCAGTGTTGAAATCAACAAGATCATGTTTTTAATACATCATTTGCAAAACAATAACTATGGTAACAGTAAGATGGTGTTATAAGCAGTTTATGTTCCATAGAAATAAAATATGGCCTCTTTAAAACATGTATTACTATTATGAGTGGTGTCGCCTTTCCACAGATTTGACCTGTAAAGATAACAGTTCCCTGTTTAAGTGTCACACAAATTTGATTTAAACTTACATTTATGGAAGATTATTTATTTCATCACATTTTCAATATTAAATGCAATTGAATTTTTCACTTTTAACTCTGAAAAAAACATGTTTGAATTTGTTTTATTCTGAATTTTAGCTTTCAAGTGTAGAGAAGAGTGTTTAAAATTATATATAAAATTACACCTTTTAAATATTCAACACAAATATTTTCCAGCCATTAAATTCAACATTCAAAATTCAGAGTGTAAAATTCACAGTGAAGAAAATTCGCAGGAAAGACTCAAGATGCCAAGGCAGAAGTTATCGATCTAAAGTGATCCGATCAAACTTAGTAACAAACAGGAAATTTGATTGTTCAAAATCAGCCTCATCCAAACCTCATCTCTTTTATTTCTATTATTTTTTATTTATATATTATTTATTTTTAAGAGTAAAACCCGCCCACACATGAGAACGGCGAATAGGAAACCGCCTCTGTCTTCCTCACTCATATGATCGATTGCTTTTGCCTTGGCATCTTGGATCTTGGTTGTGAAATTTTTCATTGTGAATTTTGACTGTCTGAGGAATTGTACAACGGAGTATAAGGGTCAGTTAAAAAAATAAAATAAAATGCTGGCGCTTCGAGAATAAAGTCGTAACATTTCGACATTAAAGTCGTAATTTTAGGAGAATAAAGTCGTAAACTTACAAGAATAAAGGAGTAATTTTATGAGAATAAAGTCGTAGTTAAAATAAAGTCGTAATATTAGGAGAATATCGGCTGCTCGGAAAGTCTGAACAAGTGGAGAATGGAGAATTTGGAGCATTTTGTCTAAGTCCTGGTCTCAGTCCCGGTCGAGTCTCGGACTTCGTTTAGTCCTGGTTTAGTCCTGGTTCAGTCCTAGTTCTGTCCTGGTTCAGTCCAGAGGCGCAAATAATGAAGAAAATTGTTGTTCGTTTTCTTATTTTTGGTTTTATATTGAAAAACAAGGTTCTTCTGCCGCATTTTTCACTTTGACTTTGATTTTATTACAACTTTAGTCTTGTAATATTATAACTTTATTTTAACTTTGACTTTATTCTTGTAAAATTACGACTTTATTCCTGTAAAATTATGACTTTTTCTGGCTTCGACTTTATATAATATTACGACTTTAATGTCGAAAATGTCGGAGCGGCGTGTTCTTTAATGTCGAAATGTTACGACTTTATTCTCGTAGCGCCAGCATGTTTTTTTTTTTTATCTGACCCTTATACTCCGTCGTAGAAATTTGTATTCTGATGTTGCAAAATACTGAAAAAGCCAACTTAAAATTTCAGCTACTAAAATAAGAAAAGTCAGTGGTATTTAAAACTCTAAATCTGATGGAACAAATTATCTTCCATATACATTCATGTTCGATGTGAAGAATGAAAACTAGAAACGGTTTCATGTTTTATTAACTTACAGAACAGGACATTTTCAATAAACAACACACTGAGGAGATGCCACTGAGCTTTGGTGTGTAACTGTCCAGTGGAATCCAATAGAACATCTGGTTTTGCAGTTAATAAGGTGCGTATGAAATATATAAAATTAGAAACTTTGAATATTAACACAACATATTTTCAGAACAATGTCAAAATATCAGCTGTAAAAAACCTGTCATATAAGATTTATTTTTTTACATGTAAATTTTGAAATGTGGACCCCTGTGAGCTTTGTCAAATCAGTAACGAGCAAGATACAATGAAAGAATTTCAATTTCAATATATTTTGTACAAATCTCTTTTATTTTCACCCCTCGTCTGAACCACACCTGAGTCTAACAGTGCTTTAAAGAGCCTGTATCACACAAAACTGATGCTTTACCTGTGACCTCCTCAAACACAAACTGGAGCTGTGTTTAGTTTCTTTCAATATTCAGTTAAATATGTAGAATCTGTGAGTTAAATATGTCAGAATGAAACAAACACGACTCCAGGTCTGTTTGTGATGAGGAAACCACATTAGAACCAGTGGTGTAGTGGAGATTTTGTAAGTGGGGGTACGCGACTCGTGACGTCATCAGTGTGAAACATAAAGACACTAGCCCGGAAAAAATCTGGATTATTTGATGTTTTTTTTATCAAAATGATGCAGAATCATGTTATTACATTAAAGCTGTTTATAATCATCTACAGAACATAAAACACAGACTACAACACATGAACCAGGACTGAACCAGGTCTAAACCAGGTCTAAACCAGGACTAAACCAGGACTAAACCAAGATCAAACTAGGGCTGAACCAGGATTAAACCAGAACTACGCCAGGACTAAACCAAAACTAAACCAAAACTAAACCAGGTCTAAACCAGGTCTAAACCAGGACTAAACCAGGTCTAGACCAGGACTAAACCAGGTCTAGACCAGGACTAAACCAAAACTAAACCAGGTCTAAACCAGGACTAAACCAGGTCTAAACCAGGAACAAAACAGGTCTAAACCAGGACTAAACCAGGACTAAACCAGGTCTACACCAGGTCTAAACCAGGTCTGAACCAGGATTAAAATAGGACTAAAACAGGAGTAAACCAGGACTAATCCGGGACTAATCTTGGATTTGAGAGAGGGAGAACCCCGAGCCTGCGTGCAGAGCAGGGCGTCCACAAAGCTCTGAGCTGGTCACCCAACGGTCTACGTGGGCGCACGTCTGGCACTGTCCCTACACTCGGTCCTGGTTCAATCCTGGTTCAGTTCTGGTTCAGTCCTGGTTCAGGTCTCTATAGGACAGTAGTGCAGACATCATGGGTCTATGCAGGCTCCGGTTTGACATTTAAGTTATAGCTATTTTATATTTGTTATTTTTTTTATATCACGTCAGGAGAAGTGTTTGGATGGCGTACCCCCGTGTACCACGCCCACTACACCCTGATTATAACATGGATCAGAAAAGAGTGTAATACAGGCTCTTTAAATAATGGCTGCTTCCCATATAACACATTTGCTTTAAGAATAAAAGTACTCGTTTATGGAATACACTACTGTTAACACGTCAGTAATACACGTAGCAGCAAGTATACATAACGCTAATAAACAATACATCTTTGTTCAACTCTGGTTAGAAAACATAAAATAGAGTTATAAATACATCCATAATATAAAGACGTCGCACTACGCACATTAAATGTATACATCTGGAACATTTACAGTAACATGGAGAGCGGCGCCTCTTCACACCCCTGGAGAAGTCTAGATCAGTTTGTACTGTGTCCCTGTTGTGTTCCCGAAGGCCAAGTGCTGTCAAGACGGTCATTCCAACATGGCGTCCGGAAACAGTGTGGGGGAAGAGGAGGTCATTCCAACATGGTGTCCTTATACAGTGTGTGTGGGAAAAGAGGTCATTCCAACATGGCGTCCGGATACAGTGTGTGGGAAAAGAGGTCATTCCAACATGGCGTCCGGATACAGTGTGTGGGAAAAGAGGTCATTCCAACATGGCGTCCGGATACAGTGTGTGTGGGAAAAGAGGAGGTCATTCCGTCATCGTGTCCAGGTGAAGTGTGTGAGGTGAGAGGAGGTCATTCCAACATGGCGTCCAGCTGATCAGCCAGGTCGTCAAACATGTTCCCGATGTCGTCCAGAATGTTCCCTGCTGCTTTGACTGTGCTGCCTCCACTGAAAAAAACACAAACAACAGTAAGTCCAGAGAAAAAAGGGGGTGTCCAAGAGCCTGAAATCACCTGGGCTGTGTTTACAAAATCTGATCTCTGGAGTTTATTGAAATGTCCACTGGAGATTTCTTTGTGATCATCTCTCTGATCACTCACAGAGATTTTGCAGTTTGTATGTCTTTTAAATAATCTTAAAAATCCAGACATCAGATCATGATCAGACTTTGGTTTCTTAATATTCTCTGTTCACGCTTATGTCACAAACCAGGAGAACATTTGGAAAGATGCGATTACAACTTCGCAGGCCCCACTGACACACAACTCTGAGTGCACTGGTACATGTGATTAGAAGAGATGAGGTCAAATTCCAGATGATTCCAAACAGCACATACGTCTGCAGTCTTCACTTTACCTCTGATCACATTTACTTCAGTGGCTTTGATCACAGTCGGTCGGAGAGTCCAGTGTTGGGAACAGCATGGGAAATTGAAATCATGTTTCCAAACGTCTTCCTGTTTGTGACGTAAGTGTGAATAGAGTTTATAACTTAAATAAGTGATTAACACATATTCACGGATGTGAAATCTGATGATCAAATTTCTTTTGTGCATGTAAACAAGCTGTGTCCACATAAACATGTTCAATAAAATATAGCTTTTACTGATAATAAATGTAATTGTAATGTATTTGTAAATAGAAAAACATGGACTCAATAGCCTATTTATGTTTTGTTGGTGGATGATTATCCAATCATAGAGCGCCCTCACTGCTAGTTTCATCTGAAACTCATAGTCTAAACCATGTTTAAGCCACAGTCTGTATAAAGAAGTGGACTGAGTGAGTGTGACATCACCCACAGAGTTCAGCTCCACTTAAATGAAGCTCATGATGCTCACAGTTACAGGAGTGAATTTGGAGCCAGGCTCTGTATTATAATTAGGATTTTTTTGATAGACAAAATAACGGAAAAAAAAAAACATCACCAGGATCATGTACAGTGGGTTAATATGAACATTTTATGACCAAAATGATGAGGCTCACAGCAGCAGTTACAGAGAGAGGAGCCACAAGATCCTAATGTAAGTCAATGGAACCAGAGTCAGAAGGAGCCAGAAGAGCCACATGTGAACTTCCTGTTTGGAACACGGCGGCAAGAGCGTGAGTTATGACCATTTATATGTACAGTCTATGGTTTAAACCTAAAATGTCTCTCTCTGATCTGAACAGTCACTCCCTAAACCCCAGCACCTGCACCAGTCCTGAGTCAGTGCTAGTGCAGCCTCTGCAGCTCAGGGAGGGAATTCTGGAGGTTCTGAGCTTCACATGAGACCTGTTCTGTCCATAAACTGAGAATGAGACACTTGGATGTGTCTCTGTCTGCAGGTGAAGACTCTGGAGACACAGGTCCACTTGTGACTCTAGTACTTTCTTGTTTTTAAACAGTGCAGATACATTGGGTTACATTAATGTCTAATTGAAATAAGACACTCACGTCTCCGTGTGGCCGCCCTGGGCCAGCTTGTTCTCCACCACTTTGAGCGCGGCCTCCAGGGAAGTACTGGTCTCCTCCAGCCGCCTCTGAGCCAGCACCTCCAGACAGGCCAGGGGAGTGGGGGCCTCCGGGGGCTCCAGGGGCTCGGGGGTCTGCCTGTAAGCTGCGGACGCCCTCACCGCACTGGGGTAAGAGGAAGCCAGGGGAGGAGAGGCCGGGGCAGTGAACGCAACACTCTGGACAACGCTGAGGTTTGGACCTGAACACAAGAGCGGATAGGAAGAACATCAGAGATTATTTACTCATGACTATATTTGTTATAGAACATACATGATAAAAACAACTATAATACAACACGGAGAATATCTGAGAAGGACTGACAATGGAAGAGTTATTCAGACTTAAAGGTGCTGCACCTGATTTGTACTGTCACTTATCTTATTCTAATTATTCACATGAGCGCTTTTCACAACTGTCCTGTCCTAAGTTAGTACTAACCACATTTTACAATAAATTGCTTGGTAATTAGATGCAGACCGTACATGACAGACTTATTATTTAACTCAACTGCTGCTTATACAAAGTGTGTACTGGAATAAAACAATCACGTGCAGCACCTTTAATAATCATGCATGTCTCCTTTACACCCATGTGCACGATGTGACAGGTTTTGAGTCTCTAATTTATTCTTAAGTAGTTGGGATAATACCTGTTGTTAATATAAATTATAGTTTACACCAATCAAGAAGCCATTTTTGATGAAAAGTAAAAGTGGTCTGGATCACATTTGAAAGAATTAGATCTGTGTGGTTCATTTCTGTCATTAAAAGATCAGATACAGGAGCATAGGGGCCAAAAAATCAGATTTGGGTCACTTCGGGCTGCAGTCTGAACAGTTACGGAATAAAAATTTGAAAGTAAAATTTGAACCCTAAAAACTGGCCAACATAGGATATATTTATTTTAGTATTTATTATTTTTTTGTAAAATTTTAACTAAAAGCAAAAACCTGAAACAGCCATTTCCTCTGGTTGGCCACAGTGAAATAGCTCAAGACCATATCAGAGAGAGTTACATTTTCTGCACAGGACTTTCTGTTGTAGAAGCTGTTTATTGATCGTACCTGGCGCTGTTGGAGACTGTAGAATCCTGTGCAGTTTCTGTGGACTGTCTGGCTTGTGCACCACAGCTATGGGACTGGCTGCACTCTGGTGCCCCCCAGTGGACACCGTATGGATCTGTACGCTGGTCAGTCTTGGAATGGCTGTGTGCGAGCTGACCAGGAGCGGAGAGGCTGCTTTCTGAGGCGTGCTCGGTCTGCTGTTACTGCTACACAAGTTCTTTCGGGGACTGGAGGGCTTGGCCGACACAGGTGGCTTGGGGCCTTTTCCCATGGAGCCTATTCTTTGGAAAACCAGCACCGGTCTTTGGGATTCGTCATCGCTGGGGGGCTCAGCTCCATTTTGGACAGCGTGTAATCCGTTGCTCTGCTCATGATTTGGACTGGTTGACTCTTCCGGCGTGAGTCCGTCTCTATCTTTTGGTTTGTGCCTTCTCTTAACCGTATCGGACTCTTTAAGGTTGAACTCCAGACTGGGTGGCGTGTGAGGAGGCCCGCCGGGTGAAGGGGGCGCTGTTGTCCTGGGACGCTGCTTAATAGTCAGATTCCCTTCCTCCGCGAATGGAAGATGTCCGCCTGAGCTTCTCTTCGGCGACGAGCTTTGGCCTTGTCTTTCTGACTTAATTTTCTCTTCGTACAGCCCGTTGCTTTCAGCCCTTTCGCTCCCTGTTCTCCTCAGCCCCCTTACCCCAAGCACTGGCAGGGGTTTAGAATTTGGAAACTGGAAAACTTGCGGAGATGGCTTTGGCGAGGAGGCGGGGCTAAACGTTGGCGACCTGGTAACGTGTGTAGGCGGTATGTCAATTCTTCTAGATGGACTGCTGCTCCCGCCTTCCAGTCTGGCTGCGATGCTCCGAACGCTCCCGACGCTTTCCGTCTCCACCCCTCCAGAGTCTTCAGCTCCGTTTGGAATATTCGGCGTTCCCGTGACCGAGCTCATTCTTTTCGGCGGGGGAGGCGGTGGCCCTTTACGCTTCCCTCTCACTGCGAAAGACTGACTGCGGCTCACGTGGGCTGTCCCATTGGAAATCCCCCTCGCAGTTCTTCGGGACAGAGTGGCGTAGGATGGCAGGATCGCGGATGACGCTGTGGTTCTCGGAGCGGCGTGTTCTTCGTCTTCCTCATCTGGTTCTCCGTCGGACATGGCATAGCGGGTGAGGCTTTGAGCGCGCTTCTTTTGGTCGTTGGGTGCCTGTTGGGGGCATAGAATGGGTATGGCTCCAGGTAGGGGTCTCGACAGAACGTGTCCAGGGATGTAGCTGAAGTTTTTGTGCGTTGGAGAGGGGGACGTTGGCGATGGAGGTGGGTGAAGGGTCTGTTTCGCTTTTGGTGGAACCGCGGGGTACACGAACCGCTGCATTTTACTCGGGGTAAGGGGTGGAGTCATGGGAGCAAAAGGTTTATTAGTCGCATCTGGAAATTTGTTGAAACTTTCTTGGACATCTTGGCAAGAGTTTCCAGAATTTCCAGAATTTCCAGACCCACGTGATCTCATGCCGATACTCTCCTGGCTCAGGGACTTGGAGGAGGATGAGGTAACACCCCTTATAGCGAATGCCTCAGAAGCCCCGCCCCCGGCCCCTCCCTTCATGGCCGTCTGCAGTTCGGCGCTCAGCTCACTGTCCTGGAACGAGGTGAGGGTCCTGGGGGTCCTGGGGGAGTGGGGTGAGGGGCAGAGGTCGTCCGCGGGTGGGTCGCTGCGCGGGTCCTGGTGGGAGGGGTTATGGGAGGGCGGATGCTCGATGGCCACCAGCTCCAGAGCGGCGAGGGGCTTCCGCCGCAGGGTCCCACTGGAGTCACCATGGCAACGGGAGCGCTGCAGGTCGCACAGGCGTTTGACGGCCAGCATCAGCTTCTTCTGGTGACCTACAGGAGAACAGGAGAACAATTTCACACAAGTGACAAAAGCTTTATGTTGACAATATGAAAGTTCCTTCAGATATTATTTAGTTTGACTCTTTTTGCTTTTGGCTTTTGAAAATACCAAAATAAATATCTAATAAACATCTTTTGCTCCTGAATCTCATGTAACTTAATACCAACTAAAAATACTACAGTATTTTTCGGACTGTAAGTCACACTTTTTTTCATGGTTTGGTTGCTCCTGCGATACTCTGGTGTGACTTATACATAAAAATTTTCAGACTGACAGCCATGAGAGGGCGCTCTAGGCTTGTGTATCAGTTTTCTGTGCATATGTCCTACAGAAACAGCTGCTGTCCTGCTGCAAGTAGTAAAATATGCAACAGAAAACGGTACTCGAGCAGTAGAAAGTTTGGAGAGAGGGAGAAACTTGTGAGGGACTGGCGGAAAGTGGGTATGAAGAACACAGCTTCACAGCAACCGGGAGGGTGCACCATGCAAATTTCCTGTCACTGAATGGATTGACAAAGCCTGAACTTCAGTGACAACCGCAGTGGATTTAGTGATTTGCAGTGAGATGGAGAGTTTGATAAAGTTATGTTCTGTTGTTTAAGTTCTAGTTACCTGAAAAACTGTTAATATGTTACATTAACATACCAGACTGTTGTTCTTTATTCTATTTTTGTTACTAGAACTTGACTTTCAAGATGAAATGTCGATTACTGGTCCCTGATTTTATAAAATAAATTTCTCCCAAAAAGTGCAACTTATAGTCCGGTAGGACTTATACTCCATAGTCTATAGTCTGAAAAATACTAATACTATATCAGTGGATTTGAATCCATTTACACTGTCAATCAAAAGTTTGGACACTGCACTTTACCTTGTTTCTGAGAAGGCACAGCTGTGAAGTGAAAACCATCTTCTTTCATCATTAAATCATGATAAAAGGCTAAGGGTTTGCAAAGCTGTCAACAATGCAAAGGGCGGCTACTTTGAGTAAAGATTTTTTTTTTTAATTGTTTAGAGTAATTTCACTGAAGAAAATATTGACAAGGTGTGTCCAAACTTTAGACTGGTAGTGTCTTTGAACTACAGAGAAAACCAGAGAACCCAAAGGAACATGTGGAGATGATACTGAGTCTCACCCAGTTTGGTGATGCCGATCTCCTGCAGATCTTCCCATGTGATGTCTTTGACAATTCCAATAGAGTCGTAGCCGTTGTCACACAGCCTCTTCTGGTACTGAGGCAGCCCGATCACACTGAGCCACTCGCCCAGGTCCAACTGCACAGCACACGAAAACAAAACACACACATTAAAAGGGACACTGTGTTCTGTAAAAGCAACTTTCAATGGAACTAAGTGCTCATTCAACATGTTTTGCTAATTAACTGTGAATATGGTGTTTTAAAATCACTGTCTACTCTTAATAGTGTGTGGTAGTCCTGCGTGATGTCACCAAGCACTTAATAAACTTAATAATTGCTATGCTTACTCAGTTTTTGACAAGAAAGACTCCTTTGTTTGCCCTAAAATGACCATACACAGCACCAACACTGTATACACTTTTAGTAGTGGAAAAAAAAAAGAAAAGCGTTTAGTTCCACTTTAAAGTCAGGCGTCTCTGACTACAAATACCTGGCTGCAGGGGAGGAGGTTGAAATGTGGAAATGAGTTCGATCAATCACACTGTTCCACATATCCCCTCATAACTCTGAACCTCCTCCACCCTCATGCTCCCCTTTAGTCCTCCAACATATTTCGATAATAAATCAGATAAATGAATATCTGCAGCTTGTTACGATGGAGCAGTATGGATCATGGGATCTACATGAGTTTTAAAAAAGAAGTCAGTGGGCCTGTTTCTATTATTAAACCATTCCAGAAAGATGTTGCTGTTTAAATAATGATCTATGTATCCTACAGTTTAATACCTGAGAAAAATTGGATACCATAAATATATGACAGAGCTGCCTGAGTGTTTTTGATTTGAACTCTTTCTTGTAAATAAAAGTACAGGTCTTGTAGTCATTCGTTTCCACATAACTGATCAGCCCTGAGCTTTTAAACTTGTGTATAAATATATAATATCAATTCTTTTGTAAAGTCTATGGAAAAAATGAATAAGAAAATGTACTGGGGCAGGCGGTCACTGCTGAGCTCCATTACCAAGTGAATTTAGAATCAGCTCATATTGGCTATAGCTGTTTAAAAACGCTTTTGCACAGACAGCTGCACAGAAATTGTTTTATGTACTTGTTATGGTTAAGTCCTACACTTGTATAAAAGTCCTACACTTGTATAAAAGTCTTACACTTGTATAAAAGTCTACACTTGTATAAAAGTCCTACACTTGTATAAAAGTCCTACACTTGTATAAAAGTCCTACACTTGTATAAAAGTCTTACACTTGTATAAAAGTCTTACACTTGTATAAAAGTCTTACACTTGTATAAAAGTCCTACACTTGTGTAAAAGTCCTACACTTGTATAAAAGTCCTACACTTGTATAAAAGTGCTACACTTGTATAAAAGTCCTACACTTGTATAAAAGTCTTACACTTGTATAAAAGTCCTACACTTGTATAAAAGTCCTACACTTGTATAAAAGTCTTACACTTGTATAAAAGTCCTACACTTGTATAAAAGTCCTACACTTGTATAAAAGTGCTACACTTGTATAAAAGTCTTACACTTGTATAAAAGTCCTACACTTGTATAAAAGTCCTACACTTGTATAAAAGTCTTACACTTGTATAAAAGTCCTACACTTGTATAAAAGTCCTACACTTGTATAAAAGTCTACACTTGTATAAAAGTCCTACACTTGTATAAAAGTCCTACACTTGTATAAAAGTGCTACACTTGTATAAAAGTCCTACACTTGTATAAAAGTCTTACACTTGTATAAAAGTCCTACACTTGTATAAAAGTCCTACACTTGTATAAAAGTCCTACACTTGTATAAAAGTCTTACACTTGTATAAAAGTCCTACACTTGTATAAAAGTCCTACACTTGTATAAAAGTGCTACACTTGTATAAAAGTCCTACACTTGTATAAAAGTCTTACACTTGTATAAAAGTCCTACACTTGTATAAAAGTCCTACACTTGTATAAAAGTCCTACGCTTGAAAAAATGTAAAAATCCAAAGTGTCCTCACAGGAATGTAGTCCGGCAGCCACTCTGGGATGCTCAGTTTGCTGATCTCCAGGGAGATCTTCTTGCGGTGGCCTGGTTTGGTCACTCCGATGGCCGTGAGGTCCTGGACAAGAAAACAAATCAATCAAATTAATCAAAAGAAATGCTGTTTTGTCTTTTTTTTTTTTTTTTGTAACCTATATACTTTTTGGACAGGACAGGTGTAATGTGACATTGTGATTGAAAATTAGACATTTGGCAAACAGATGTGGCCGGGAGGTGAACAACATCTTAAACCACTTCAGCACCTGTTTCTTGTTAGAAATACCTCATAAATAAAAAATAGTAATAATAATATCAGTGTGTAGTTAAAATGCATTTGAAACATGTCAGGTGTGCATGTTTCTACATACTTATTTACTTTCTACACCAAATCTGGCAGACGGCTTTTAGGAGAGGCTTTCCTGTTGTGTGTCCAGACCTCACCTGCTCCCCCTGGTGGCTGCTGTGATGCTGCAGAATGTCTGTCTCCTCTGTCCTCCAACTGCCCTGACACTGGTTAGAATGACTTTTGTTTGAGCTTTTCTGTTATTATTCTATCAGACTGCTCTGTGTGCTTAAATCGCTCTTCGGGGCTCATACTGACATTGTGATACTGATTGATTAATACTGTGATCATGTTGAGTTGCACACTCTGGTCCTCACCTCGGGGGTCATGCGGCTGATGGTGGGCACATCGTAGCCGGCGTTGATGAAGTTTGTGGTGTACTGCTCCAGCTGGAACTCACACAGCCACTGGTAGATGGCCTCAGCGTCCTACAGAACACAGAAGACACAGTTCAGATTGCAGGACTTAACGCTCAATTCCGATTTTTTTGTGAAATCCAATGTTTTTGCGAAGTCGTTCACATTTCTAATTAAATGCGACTTGTATGTGATCTCCAGTGTGAACGTTAAACGCCCCAAAAGTGTCCCACATGAGCACTGGAGACACGATGACGTCAACCACAGCGAGCGTGCTCTGTGTTTACAGAAGTTGTCCAAACATGGACGCAGCATCGAGCACCTGGAGATTTTAAAGTTCCTCTCGTACCGGAGCCAGAACATGAACAACTTACTTGTTTTAAGGAGGAGATTGAGAAGGAGAAGGACGAGGTTTTTGGCTGTGGAGTTTTGTGGGACAACGGCAGCAGCGTCCGTTGAAAGGAACGTGTGGATGTGGAGACGTAGCCAAGAGTGGTGAGTGGAGATGTGCTTCACTTCAGTGACACGGAGTTCATTAACAATTTTCACCTACTTCAGCGCAGAGTAGTGATGTTTGTGGCTTGTTGATAACGTGTAGGTGGATGAATGCACTTCGGCCGTTCAGACTGAAGTCACATGTCAAAAAATCAGATATGTATCGGTTTTAGGAGCACATATCCAAGTGTCCTGGGTCACATTTGAAAAAATTGGATTTGTGTGGTTCAGACTGTCATTAAAAGATCAGATACAGGTCACATAGGGCCCAAAAAATTGGAATTGGGTCACTTCAGGCTGCAGTCTGAACGCAGCCTTAGAGAAGGACAGGAAACAAAGCAACACTCACTACGCTTACATGCACGCCAGGAGAACCGGATAACTGACCTACTCCAGTTTAAACTGAATCGTATAAATGCAATAAACCTCAATAACACATCTGGAGAAGCCTCTGTGTACTTGGAGAAGAACGTGAGGAGAACTGTACCTTTCCATCGAGGATCTGTTCAGGTCTGAGGAAGCCCTTCTGTGGAGTGCCATTGACCTGCCGCCGGGACCCACCTAAAACAAACAAGAATCACTGATAACTCATGTGTGATCCACATGCACAGAGCAAAACTAATCTGAATCCGAGTAGTTTTGTTTTGTGGGTGCAGGTACAATGATGTATGAGGTATTTGTAATGAGGTATTTCCATGTTGCAAATGAGTGTTTTAAATATTCACTTTAAATGTACTGTAAGTTATATTGTTATGCAGAGCCTTTTCTATTAAATTACATGATATTATAATATATTATATAAAGACATTTAAAAATCATAAACACAGCTCTTCTTCACTAATTAACCAGTCATTAATCAGTGTTTGTCAACACATGATTCTGTTACTTATTATGGTGAGTGATACTGATAAAAATCAATCAATATTATTTTTTACAAACCGGCAATAATATGAAACATGTGACTGATCACTCTACAAACCGTGAATAGAGTGTGCAACTAACTAACTAAGTTCGTTTTTTCTTTAACTCTTTATGTTGCCTTTCTGAATAGCAAAAAAAAAAAAAAATGTTTTTTTTGCATGTGTCTTAATGCTAATGCTAATTTTGCATGATAAATATTGAAATAAGCTCACAAATAAAAACAATCAGACAGTCTTTATTTATCATTTTAAAGTGTGTTTGACTTCATTTGGTGGGGTAATGTATGTTGTAAATATAAATTATAGGTTTACTCCAATCAAGAAGCAATTTGCGAAGACAAGTTGAAAAATATGTTGAAAACTACGAGAAGAAGAGAGTTCTAGAACACTGATGAGAAAAATCTATTCGTTTGACACAAATTACACAAGACAAACACATTTTTCTGATCCTTTAAACACGATTTCAACAAAATAAAGCTGTTTTCTTAGTTTTCTTTGTCAAATAAATATCCCGCGGGCACACACGAATGCACGGAGCACGGGCTCGTGTATCATGTGATCGCTTTGACCAATCAGAGCAAGAGGAGCTAGAGCGGAGCAGAGCGCAGCCGGAGCAAACTATTATAAAACATTTTTTTTAAGACAACTGAAGGATTTTGAGCTGAGAAGAAGTTTATCATCTAAAAATAGGTAAAAATCGCCAACAAATCCAACGTTTTTAAAGTTGTATGTCCCTGTCAGATGAACACGAGCAGTTTGTGATTACGTTGCCTTATGAGAAAATTCCTCTCAGCCCAGGGGATTTTTCCGCTGTAGAACCAGTGAGTGTCACTACATCAACTGGAGGCAGATACAAGCAGCAACACCCTCCAGTTATTTGAACAGATCCATGATGTGATGTCATGATTTCCAACCAGGAAGTAGAAAGTAAACCTCAAAACTGAGCGAAAGATAATCTCATTTTTAAGTTAAATCTTGGTAACATTTTATAATAACTACACCTTATTTAGCCTTAATAAAGCATGAACAAAGACTTAATTAATAATGATTCACGCTTAGTAACTACTTAATTATTACCTGAATTTGCACTTAACTTGCACTTAATTGGCTTGTGCTGTAAATAGTTACTCATAAGTATTTCTTACTTAATTACTGATGAACTAATTGTGTGTGCATTTGTAAATGTATATTTAAGTACAAATTTGAGCATTTATTAATGATTAATAAGCCATGAGAGAATGATTTACTAGTAATACATTATTGTTTCTCTGGAATTTGACCAACCTTAACAAATGCTTAATAAACATAATTAGTCTTCACTTTAGAAAAGCTCTCAGAAAGACTTAACGAACAGATAACAGCTGCCTGAATGATCATTGTATTACATTATTAGTAAATCATTCTCTCATATCTTACTAATCATTAATAAATGCTCAAATGTGAACTTAAATATACATTTGTAAACATGCAAATGGTTAGTTCATGAGTAATTAAGAAGTATTGAGTAACTATTTACTGCACAGGCGAATTAAGTGCAAGTTAAGTGCTAATTCAGGTAGTAATTAAGTAGTTACTAAGCGTGAATCATTATTAATTAAGTCTTTGTTCATACTTTATTAAGGCTAAATAAGGTGTAGTTATTATAAAGTGTTACCAAAATCTTCAATATATCGTCTCAGCCGTGTTTTAGAGGAATGGGTATTCTAACCTGTAATAGGCACTTTAATATACATACAGTATATATATATATATATATATATATATATTTATATTTTTGATGTTTTAATAAAGTACTGCTGTGGCCAGGACCAACAATTATAAAAACTAATCTAAGTCTTATCTTCATACAACAGATGAATGGTTGATTTGTTTGTTGACATTATGCTACTCTTATTATGGAGGTCAGGACCCTTTGCTCCCTGGGTCCCTCGAGGGCCTAAACCAGCAACAGTAAATCTATTTGGCCTGAGGAGACAGACTGCATACTTCTCCAAGAAAAAACAACCACTTTTAGAGCAACAACAACAGACATTTACAACGATTAAAGCACAATTTTAAACTCAGCAATAGACTAGCACTGTCAAAAGTATCAAAAATCAGATATTATTCAATACTAAATAAGCTGAATGTTTTTAGAATGATGTTGATTTGTATCAGAAGTATAAGAGCACATAGACTAGTGTACACACACGGACCAACATGAACCTATAAAATATATAAAATATTATAAAATAAAGTACTGCTATTTAATGTTGAAAATCACACTGTGTTGTCTAAAGAAAATGTGTTTTTGATTTTGATTGTGGTATTGGAATCAGTATTGAGAATCTACGGAAGCCCTGAGAGGAAAGAGAGAAAACAAAAAAGAGGCAGGTCATTTGGGCTCTATTTTCTAAGTGGTTTTTTTTTTTTCATCAACTCAAAAAAAAAAAAAAAAAACACAAGAGAAAAAAACAGTAGAATTTTTTTTTTGTTTAACAAAAAATTGTAGAAAAAAAATTGTAGATTTTTTTTTTTTTTTGTAGAAAATAATTTAATTACTTTTTGAGCTGGTCAAAAAAAACAAAAACAAAAAAACACTTAGAAAATAGAGCCCAAATGACCTGCCTTTTTTTTTCTTTTTCTCTTGCCTCTCAGGGCTTCTGTAAAAATCAACTTGAAATCAAGTTGTAGATGTAACATATAATATGGGTAATATTTAAGAAAAATATCCCATTGCATTTTTTCGGACACAGATTTGTGATTTATGTTTTTATAATCGGATTGTGTTCAAAGTCAGCATTTTAAACACGTCCAGAAGAATTGACAAAAGACTGAAATCTGAACTGAAAAACTAATACAAGAATTTCCAAACATTTTGTACAGATCTAAACATACAGGGTTAACAGTTTTCATGCAAAATAAGAGATTTTGGTACTTCCATAATTATCGTCTTTTTGATCTGCTTTTTTATTGCTGAAAAAATTTTTAAAAATAAAATCGAAAAGCACATATTCTTCTTGAGCATGGGCTTGCCTCTTGACAGATCTGACCTGTAATATGGCCTCATAGCGTCACCTGTTTGTCTCCATGGAGATAGAAAGTTATAAGCATCTCCAATAACTCTTTGCGGTGACAAGCAGGTAGCGGAAAAAAAGGTACACACTGCAGCTTTAACTGAATGCAGTAGTGAAGTAGTAACATACAACTCGTCTTGATCTGTATTCTGAAAAGTCTCTGTGTGTCAGATGCCCTCCCTGTGTGTCAGATGCCCTCCCTGTGTGTCAGATGCCCTCCCTGTGTGTCAGATGCCCTCCCTGTGTGTCAGATGCCCTCCCTGTGTCTCCATGGGGTCTTAATCTGTATAAAAGTTGAAATATATGGGATCCTTGGATTATTTTAGCAGTTCAGATTTCTGTCTTCTCAGTTGTTCCTGGACGATTGTTCAGTGTTGAAAGTTCTCACATCGGCTTCTGTCCTACAAATAAATCGTAAAGAGCCAGAACCAAGAGATTCGGATCCTGTAAAAGAGCTGAAAGTCCTACGACTAGCTCCTAAATCCAAACTTCTGAACATCACCAAGAGTATGAAAAAAGTACAGTGACTTACCCTTCAAGAAGGACAACCAAAACATGCTTAAGCTGTACTCCACACATTTCAAACTAAATGTCAGAGCAAAAGCTTCTCTCTATCTCCTCCCTCTTGCTTTTTCTTCTCCCTCCTCCCTCTTTCACCCTGAGGTCACTGTTTATCCATCCATCAACTCTATCTCAGCTATCTCAGAGTCAACCTCTGCACGCTACCAGGGCGGCAGCTTTCAGTTGAAGTTTCGGTACTGGTAATTAAAGCAACAATGTGTAACTTTCTGAAGGCGGCCCGGATGATTCCATGGAAATACAAAGTGAAAAACACACTTATTGCTTTGTTTCAGATGATGTCACAGTGTTCTGTACGCTAATAATCTTTAATTATAAGTTTAAATGCAGTTTTTGTCTAATGCAAGAAGTGACTCAGTCTAGTTATTTGTGTGTCACGATACATTTCAGACTCGATTTTGATGCTCAGGAACAGACTCGATACTCAACGCTGATTCCAATACCACAGTGACAACAAAAAACACTCCTTACTCAGAAAATAGAATGATTTCCAACAGTAAATCTTCTATGGAGTAAGAAGCTTTCAGAAATATTTGTGTGCATTTTGTCTGTAGTTGAGCATAAAATAAATATTCATAAACTGAGCAGGACAAACATCCGTCGAGATGCTGGACGTTTGTGCCAAATAAGGATTGAACCTGGACTAAACAAAAACAAAAACAAAGGACTAAACTAGGACTAAACCAGGACTAAACCAGAACTGATCCAGGACTGATCCAGAATTGAATCAGGATTGACCCCAGGCCTGAACCAGGACTAAACCAGGATTTAACCAGGACTAAACCAGGACTAATCTTGGACTAATCTTGGACTAATCTTGGACTAATCTTGAACTTGAGACAGAGGCAGAACCCCAAGTCCGTGGAGCAGGGTGTCCACAAAGCGCGACCAGGCGTGGGGCGCAGAGCTCTGAGCTGGCATTTTGCCTGCGGTCACCTGAGAGTCCTGGTTTAGTCCTGATTTAGTCCAGTTTTAGTCCTGTTTTAGTCCTGGTTTAGACCTGGTTTAGTCCAGTTTTAGTCCTGTTTTAGTCCTGGTTTAGACCTGGTTTAGACCTGGTTTAGTCCAGTTTTAGTCCTGTTTTAGACCTGTTTTAGTCCTGTTTTAGTCCAGTTTTAGTCTTGTTTTAGTCCAGTTTTAGTCCTGTTTTAGTCCTGTTTTAGTCCAGTTTTAGTCCAGTTTTAGTCCTGTTTTAATCCTGTTTTAGTTCAGTTTTTGTCCAGTTTTAGTCCTGTTTTAGTCCAGTTTTAGTCCTGTTTTAGTCCAGTTTTAGTCCTGTTTTAGTCCAGTTTTAGTTCTGTTTTAGTCCTGGTTTAGACCTGGTTTAGTCCTGTTTTAGTCCTGTTTTAGTCCAGTTTTAGTCCAGTTTTAGTCCTGCTTTAGTCCTGGTTCAGTCCTGCTTTAGTCCTGGTTCAGTCCTGCTTTAGTCCTGGTTCAGTCCTGATTTAGTCCTGGTTCAGTCCTGATTTAGTCCTGGTTCAGTCCGTATGCGACACAAAAATCCGGCATCTCGATCAATCTTTCTTCTGCTTAATAAATAATGACTGTCAAGTGATGTTGTATTTTTGACAGTCGAGTCTCGTCTGTGAATTCATATTCCTACTGAAGAAAATCTTAAATTTTCATTTGGTGATTGCAATTCTTGATGTTGTAACTTTTCAATTCGTATTCTGATGGATAAAATACACACAACACATTTTATGTACAATTGAACTCATTTGAGAGTTTATGAATATTTATTTTATGCTCAACTACAGACAAATATGCATGTGAATATTTCTGAAAACTTTCTTACTCCATAATCTTCATACTTTCTTTTCTATTCCCACATGGCCTTTTATCAGTGTAATCCGTCAGTGGTCCAGGGAGTGTCCTCTTAAATGTTAAAATCTGAATTGTGTCAGGTTTATACCACGCCGCACTACGCTGCTGTTTCATAACAGTGATGCGTTTACGGTCTGGCCGCGTGCTTGGTTTTATTAGTTTCTGTGGCCAGGTGAGGTGGGTCTCTGTGCTTTCATTTCCTCTGGCTGGCCCTCACAGCAAAGGATCAATGAAAAATGTTTTGATACCGTCTGAATAGCTTGTGTCAAAGCAAAAAATATATTATATCATTGTTATTGAAAATTCCAGTGTATTTTTTATAATAGACCTGAAAAAGAGAGATGATTTTCAGTGTTCTTCCAGGACTATTCAATCAAGGGTTTGCAATCACTTATTTTTGTTTGTATTTTTTGTGAATTTAAATCCCTAGAGATTTTCAATCATAATGGAAAAAACTGAAATGTGTGCAGACTTTAACAAGGCTTGAAACTCATACAAGTCCAGCTGTTCAAATATCCTTTTTTTCCACATATCTGACTTGGCCTTGGTAACTTGTCCTGATGGCGTCACGTGCTTGTGTCCATGGTTTAAGTTAAGAAACTATATGTGGCCTGCACTTGTACAGGGAAGGTTCTACAGACACAACTGAACCTGTGTCCCCAGAGCCTTAAACCTGCAGACAGAGACACATCCAAGTTTGTCTCATTCTCAGTTTATGTTCAGTCCTCATGTGAAGCTCAGAACCTCCAGAATTCCCTCCCTGAGCTGCAGAGGCTGCACTAGCACTGACTCATGACTGGTGCAGGTGCTGGGGTTTAAGGATCATTCAGATCAGAGAGAGACATTTTAGTTTTAAACCAACTGGATTTCAGCACTGGACCTGGCAACCCAAATGAGTCACTCATGTGAGGCTCATTCTGCTTTGTGATTGGACAATCATCTCACCAACCAAAAGCCCAAAACTATAACATGAACTGGGGACACAGATGTACCATTTTATGGAATTAAAAAATAAAAATCTTACATATCCTTCCTGAGTTTGTTCATGTTGTTCTATCAAGGGTTAATTAAAATTAAAATGTATTTATTTACTATAACTGTATTTTAATGTTTTACCACATTAAATATTTGATATTGTACAAACCTGTCGATCCCTCTGCCACTTTATCTGCTGCTGCCAAGTGGATGTGGTCTCCAGACTCTCCAGAAGAGGGCGCCATCTGCACACAGAAGAGCAACAGTCAGACAACACTCTACACAGAGTATGTGGAGAGTTCTGTTACTTTTACTTGAGTACATTTTATTGAGTGGCTTTAATACAGTTGTACTCTGCATACTTTTACAATTGTACAGAGTAGTTTTCAGAACCCATACTTATACTCCTACTGGAGTAGTACATTGTGCAGTGTAACAGTGCTTTTACTCAAGTAAAAATGTCCCAAGTGTCTGTCTACAAGTGACAAGTTTTATGTTGACAATATGATTTTTTTTTTAACTTCAGATATGATTTAGTTTGTCTAATTTTTCTGGTCCATCCTTTGAAAATATAAGATTTATGTTTTGTACATGAAATTACAACCATATGTTACATTAGCTGTTATTTTAGTAGTTTCCACAAATACATCATTCACAACCAGTACTTTGTACTTCTACTTGAGTAATACCATTTTGACAGTTCAAATAAGCTCCAAAGTAAAAGAAAAATTCAAGTGGACTTCTTCTTCAGTTCTGGTCAGGTTTCAGGTGGACACTGCCTGAAGGGAGGAGTTAACTCTAATGAAACACACCTACTTGTTTACAGTTTATTTGTGTTACATTGGTCTATTAGCATGCAGAATATCACAGTTGTTTTCTTTGTTTTGATTTAGGTCTGAGGATGAGTGGTAATGGGAGACAGATGATGCCTGAGCCTCCCATTTCTGTTCAAAGATGGATTGTCTTTCCAAACAGAAATAGCCTCTTTAACTCCCCCCTCAAACCATTTTTTCCCTCTGGCTAAGCTCTGTACCTCACAGTTCTTAGGACTGGTTAGAGGCTTTGAGATGGAGGCGTACAGCAGACTGTGGTCCTGTGCTGCTCTCACGCCCGTGCTGCCATGTGATCTTATGTAGTGGCTGTTTTTGTTTTTGTCTGTTTTGATGCTCTCACCTTGAGCGTGTCATGGTGGCGCTGGGCTCCGTTGGCCTTGGGTCCACTCTCAGAGCTCTGCCCGCTGCCCGCACTGCGACTGCTGCCCACAGACTCCCCACTGCCCACACTGCTGCGGTCCCCTGGACAGAAAGGCAAATGAGCACACAGGAATGAACAGTGAGATGAAGCATGCAGCAGTGGCGGGCGCTATGTCATTGTTTTCAAAGGTATAATACTCCCTACAATGGGAGCACAGCCAGACTGGACTGAATTTCAAGGCGGGCAAGTTCATAACTCGACTACAGGGTCACACAGGCCAGGGGGTGGGGCTGGGAACACACAGGCTTATCAGGAACAGGGGATGGGCCTTAAGCCTCAGGGGGCGGGGCTTAAGCAGCGGGACCACACGGGTTTACCAGAACCCGGGTCTTAAGTGTCAGGGGCGGAGCTTATGGGTTAGGACTACGTAAGGTTACTGGACCAGTGGGCGGGGCTTATGGGTTAAAACCACACGGGGTTACAGGGCCAGGGGGCGGAGCTTACCAGAGGGAGGACTCCTGAGAACCCACACATCCTGAGGGGGACTAGCAGGAGGGCACAGAGGAGCACCTACCACACAGTATACACTCAAGTGTGTGTCCAGTCACAAACAATACACACACGATACTCATTTACTTCTACACACTCAGTTCACTGTTGACACTTTGCATTCAAAACTTGAATATGTCACTTTTTAAAATGATAGATCTGCCTCTGCTCGTCCCAGGGAGGAAAAAACAATAAAATAATGTTTTGTCTCTCCACAGATCTGACCTGTAATGTGTAACTGAAAACACAGAGGTGGGTAGTTACATATGCTCCTTTGGAAGAAAGAACAGTACACTTTTACTTTGACTTGAGTAATATTTTTATACAAGTAACAGTACTGTTTTTTTGGTCTATATATTGCACTTTTTTCATGGTTTGGATGTTTCCTGTGACTTATACTCAGGTGTGACTTCTATATTAAAATGTTCACACTGAAGCAGTGAGAGGTTCTAGTCTTGTGTGTGAGTATCTGCTGCTCCTGTTCCTCCTGTACCACTGTCACTTCACTCTACTGCACATGTCTCCTGCAAAAAGAGCCTCTGTCCTGCAGACTGAACACAAATGCCCCCAAAATTTTGTAGATTACAATCTGCAAGTAAAGAAATCTGCAGCTGAAAACGATAATCGAGCAGCAGAAAGAAAGTTTGGAGTGAGAGAGAAACTTGTGACACCAGGAGGATGCACCATGAAACTTTCCTGAAGTCACTGGATGGATGGACAAAGTCTGGACTTCAGTGACACTGAAACCATCCTGTCGAGATTCAGAAAGACCCGAATAATTCTAACTGGAACTGATGCTGAGTCTGACGACAGCGACACAGAAGAGGAAGCGGCGCTCTGTTTACCTCCAGAGGTCGAGGCTGAGTTGTTCAGAAGTGACACAGAGGATGAAGAATTGAATGGATTTAGTGATTTGGAGTGAGATGGAGAGTTTGGTAAACTTGTTCTGTTCTGTTGTTTATAGTTTATCTGAAGAACTGTTCATATGTGACGTTAACAGTCTGTTCTTCTCTCTTCTATTCTTATTACTACAACTTGACTTTACACAGGAAATGTCAGTTCTTGGTCTCTGATTTTATAAAATCCATTTCCCCCAAAAAAGGCCACTTATAGTCCAGTGTGACTTATATATGTTTTTTTCTTCTTCCTTATGCATTTTTTGGCTGGTGCGACTTATACTCCAAAGCCACTTATAGTCCAAAAAATACGGTACTCCTCCCACTGTGAGACTAAAGTGACAAAAGTTTTCTGTTGACAATCTGAAATGATTTGTACATTTGTGTTTCTTGCAGCTCCTTCAGATCTGATTTAGTTTGTCTCATGTTTGTGTCTGTCCTTTGAAAAGACCAGATTTTGTGACTTATTTAATGTTTTGTTCTTCACATTACAGTGTCCTCCCAATTACATCATAACTTACAGACAGTTACTCTTAAAGTTACTCTTACTTGAGTAGTGGTTTGTCCAAATCTTAAACTCTTTCTTGGACCACTACTTTGTAAATCTACTATTAATATTTTGAAGTAATGTTACTCTTATTTGAGAATAGTTTTTGTCTACTCTACCCACCTCTGGAAAAACTTCACTTTAACATGATAGAAAAAGAAGGAAATGCAGACTGAAAGAGAAGGCAGTAGGTTTGTCACAGATGAGACGGAGAGAGCGTGGAGTACCTGCTGGATCACAGGCGCCCGGGTACGAGTCGTCGGTGTGAGGGGCGGGGCCGGAGGTGGGAGGAGCTCTGGAGGACGGGGGTCTCTGGCAGGGCAGGGAGGCTTGGCGGGAGAGAGTGCCCCCTGGAGACATGCATGAGTGGAGCAGAGAGGCCCGGTGAGCATGCATGTGTGTGGAGAAGGACTAAAGACTACAGGGGCCATGTTCAAACGTGTGCAAGTCAGCCTGGATATTTATTGAAGGAAGACATACTGTGTTCATGTCTGTTCTCTAGTTATAATCTATGACACCCTGGATCATTATGTCATCATCTGGACATTTTAAAACATAATATTCATCTAAAACGACTTAATAAAAGAAACAGGTCAACCAAAAAAACAGCTGCCCAATGGGAACAACAAAGCACCGTGAAGTTGTTGGCCCCTCTGATGGACAGCTGCACGTCACACAAGTGAGTAGCAGATATTTTTTCCCATTTTTTTGTACCAAAATGACGATATGACATTGCTGCATTATACGCACATCACTGATTAAAAAATAAAAAATAAAACTGGAGAAGGAAGTAAGTACAGAACAGTGGGTGTGTATTGGTGAAAATGAGGGTTTATCAGCAATATGGCATCAAATGTTGAATTGTAAATCCTTTTGGGGGTCACAGTCCTATGTTCCCTCACTTCTAACACTTTTTTTTCCCACTGAAAACTTGGAAAATTAGGCCCTGTGTTCCCTCATTTATAAGATTTTTCTTAATTACAAAGGACAGTCACTTACAGATCGCCTGTTCCTTGCACATAAAGGTTGAAAAGTACTAGAGGCCTTTCCAGTTTTAACTGAACGAAATAAATAGTGAAATATTTTGCTTATTTGGATTGTTGGAATATGTAGTGTTCATTAAAGAATTCTCCAGGGGTAATTGTGTGCTGTATCTAAATTACACTAACTCATGGAGGTGAGTTTAATTTCGTTATAAGGGTTTGTCACTCAACCTTATGTTGGAGTAACGGTGTTAGAAGGGGTCAGTCCTGTGTTCCCAGGGCTCTATGTGTGCAGATTTAGCTAAAAGTCACATTACATCTGTAGCAAACTGCTGCTGGATAATGAGTCGGGTGTAATAATGACCAAACTGGGAGAAATGGAGATAAAATCTGATGCAAACTGGTGATAAAGGAAATGTGGGAACATAGGGCCTAATTTTGAAGAAAAAAAAAAAGAAGAAGAAAAGAATGATGGAAATAAGGGAACATCGGGCTGTGGGAACATAGTCACACTCTCTTTTTCTGTTAACAAATCCCTAAACTTAAAATAATGATCTTGCGGCACCACACTGAAAAAACTGAACATCGTTGCTACTTTTGCCACTATAGTGACTGTAGAAGCCTAATCAGTGTTGGGGAGTAACAGATTACATGTACCAGAGTTACGTAATCAGAGTACAAATGATGAGTAACTGTATTCAGTTACAGTTACTGTTTCAGTGAGTAATTGGATTACAGTTACTTTGTTAAAATAAATGGATGTGGTATTTTCCTGTTTTCACATTTTGGGCCATATTCCTTTATTTTTTATTTTTTGGTAATTCCACTCATTGCCGGACACTAAACCAGGACTAAACCAGGTCTAAAACAGGACTAAACCAGGTCTAAACCAGGACTAAACCAGGTCTAAACCAGGACTAAACCAGGACTAAACCAGGACTAAACCAGGGCTAAACCAGGACTAAACCAGGACTAAACCAGGGCTAAAACCAGGTCTAAACAAGGTCTAAACCAGGTCTAAACCAGGACTAAACCAGGACTAAAACCAGGTCTAAACAAGGTCTAAACCAGGTCTAAAACAGGACTAAACCAGGACTAAACCAGGGCTAAACCAGGACTAAACCAGGGCTAAAACCAGGTCTAAACCAGGTCTAAACCAGGTCTAAAACAGGACTAAACCAGGGCTAAACCAGGGCTAAAACCAGGTCTAAACCAGGTCTAAAACAGGACTAAACCAGGTCTAAACCAGGACTAAAACCAGGTCTAAACCAGGTCTAAAACAGGACTAAACCAGGTCTAAACCAGGACTAAACCAGGTCTAAACCAGGACTAAACCAGGACTAAACCAGGGCTAAACCAGGACTAAACCAGGTCTAAACCAGGTCTAAACCAGGACTAAACCAGGTCTAAACCAGGACTAAACCAGGTCTAAACCAGGGCTAAACCAGGACTAAACCAGGGCTAAACCAGGACTAAACCAGGACTAAACCAGGGCTAAAACCAGGTCTAAACCAGGTCTAAAACAGGACTAAACCAGGTCTAAACCAGGACTAAAATCAGGTCTAAACCAGGTCTAAACCAGGACTAAACCAGGACTAAACTAGATCTAAACTGGGGCTGAAACAGGATTTAACAGGACTAAATCATGCCGCGCAGACTGTGTCTCCTCCTCTTCTATCAATAATATTTTTAATTTGGTTAAGTAAAGTTTGGGCTTTTTATTTTCTTTTAGCAGACAAAACTTCTTATGTGAAGATAACCGAGTATTTGCTATTCTACAGAAAATCAAGTAATCCAAAGTATTCAGATTACGTTACTCACTGTAAGTAATTTAATGGATTACGTTACAAACTGCATTTTGGGGTTTGTAATCTGTAATCTGTAGGGGAATACATTTTAAAAGTCACCTTCCCAACACTGAGCCTAATATATGTTTAAGTTCAATAGTAAGTACAGACACTAGCACAGTTCACACGACATTTCATCATTTATCTCCAGAGAATTCTAGTCTCGCTGTATTCAAAATCTAGATGACAAAAAGACTGAAGTATTTTTTTAATTAGCCTGGGCTCGAGGTTCTCTCTGTATATTCTCTACAGAAGATCAGTCCACGGTGTATCAAAACAAGTATGGCTGAGGAAAACAGAAAGGAAAAAAAACAACAACAATATCACAGAAAAACATGGTGGATTTCTGTGGAATCAGTGAATGAAGCATAAACTCTGTTCATCTGAGGCACACGTTTGATTTAGTAGTGAAGGATAAATGGCAGTGAGCTCCTTCATTCGTCTTTGTTCACATCACAACAAAATCTGATTATAATGTGATTTCTATACTTGTAAGATTACATAAATGACATGTAAACTGTGATGTCTGACGTGAGTATTTACAGGGACCGTAATCACAAACAAAATCCCCGGCACGTAATAATTAAAGAGAGAGAAATCTCTGTGTGAAAACCAGATCTTGAGTGGAGCTCACATGTTTTGCAGTCTTGCTAGTTGCTCATTTGGAGAGGGCTTTACCACAGAGCTGACACTTCAATCTGGACGTGCTAATCCTATTACTGTGGAGCCTTTTGCCTGGGTGCGGATGGAGTATTAGGACACGAGTGCGCGCTGCTCTCGTGCTTTTGGCTGTGAGCTGCACAAACACGCCCGGCTATCTGTACGCTCTGCTGTGGACCACGATGAAGTCAAAGCAGGGCCACCAGGCTGGAGGTACACCCCACACGAGGACAAGGGTCAAATCATGGGCCTAAACACCTCAGAACCATGAACATAAATTAAAATGAAGACTTAATATATGGACTTAGTAACTACTTAATGAAGGAGTTAGAGTCAGGAGTTAAGGGAAGAAGTCACTTACTACTGTAGTTCTAAGCTATGTTTTCTTTATAAGTGTTGTGCAGTGTTGGGAGTAACGTGTTATAAAAGTAACAAATTACTGTAATGTGTTGCTTTTTGCTGTAACGCAGTAATGTTACAGTAGTAAAGGGGAAAAAATTTTTAATATTTTACTCTTCGGTGAGGCGCATTACATTGCTTTTTTAACCTGGTTTGAAGTGGTGGGTTTTTCGTTTTTCTTCATACAAATTCACTAAAATCACTGTAATATCAGCAGCGGTGAAAGGTGCACCCGTGTAGACCGTGATCATGAGCGAAAGGACCGACGCAGAACTCCACGCACGCAGCTGACACCCGATCGCGCTCGGGGGTTCTCTCAGGGGTGGTCCTAGATTCCAAGTTCTAGTCCAAGATTAGTCCTGGTTTGGTTCTGGTTTAATCTTGTTTAGACCTGGTTTAGTCCTGGTTTAGTTTTGGTTCCGTTGTGGTTTAGACCTGGTTCAGTCCTGGTTCAGTCCATATCTGGCGCAAAAGTTCAGCATCTTCAAGTTATTTTAGTGAGAGTAACTTAAAAGTGCTGCAGTAGTCGTTAAATGTTTTACATTTTAAATACAGTAATATTATAATGTAACAAATTACTTTGAAATGACAGAAACAAGTCATAAATAACACAGTACAGTTTTAAAGTCACTTGCCCAACAGTGGTGTTGTACTCGATTAAGGCCACCAACTATTATTTGACTAATTTGTGTAATGTTACGTGTGAGGGACTAGTTTAACTGCACAAATCAACTCAGACGTAGCTGAAACTACATCAGGTCAGATTGTGTTAAAACAAAGCTCAGATTAAAGTCTAACTTGAGTAAGAGAGCTGCAGACAGAGCAGTGCCTTCATTAGCGTCACACCCCAAGGGAATGTTGATGACATCAGCTGCAAAGTATCAACAGAGTTACGATGTTTTGTGTGCAGTGTGCAGGCTTTGTCAAGAAAAGATTCACAAACAAACCAATTATTACTAAGTCAACAAATAATGCGTGCTCCTTAAACTACAGTATGTGTTACGTTCTCCTTCCACTCCTGCTCATCCTGCCAGAGTCTAAGCTCCAAAGTTTAGCCGTTCAGTAAACATGTCCCTCACAGACCGTAGCAGATAAGAGCACAGGTGTAAACGAGGAGCTGTACCTGTTCTCCTGCTCAGGACCTCCACCACAGACGGAGGGAAGAAGCCCACCCGGTCTGTCCCGCGCTGGGGGTCATGGATGTGTCCTTTCCAGCGACCGTCTGAGGGCTGCTCCAGCACCTGAACAAAAACAGCACACTTTATATTTTAGGCAGATTTAGATTTTTAAAAGTCATTGCATTGTTTGCCTGGAATGTTTCACAGTATGACATTAAACGTATGTAACTCTCAGGAAAAAAGCAGCTCATACCACCAAGCCAACTTCCAGATCTGTGGAGAGGCGAGCCTGTTCATGCAAGCATGTGTATTGTTTAATAATAAAAATACCTGTATTTTAATAAAAACATGATAAGATTTAAAGCCACTCTGTGGAATATCCCAGGCAACCTAGTCCCAGACCCCACCAGAGGTTAACACCAGGAGTTAAACGCCGACATACACCCAAAAAGTTATTAAGCGTTACCGTCATAACCAGAAAAGATATATAACAAATCTATGACATATTTGAGTTGGGTTATTCTGATTGGTGTAAATTCAATTGAATCTGAATTAGTCTATGTTCAAACTGCAGGGCTTAATGCACAACCCAGATTTTTTTGCGAGGTTGTTCACTTTTCCAGGTAAATGTGACTTGTATGTGATCTCCAGTGTGAACTTTAAACACCTCAAAAGTGTCCCACATGTGCATTGGAGGACACGACGACGTCACACACAGCGAGCGTCCTCAGTTTTTATGGAAGTCGCCTAAATATTGACCTGAAGATTTTAAAGCTGCTGTCGTACCGGAGCCAAAACATGTACAGATGATTTGTTTTAAGGAGGAGATTGAGAAGGACGAGGTTGTTGGTCATGGTGTTTTGTGAGGCAGCGGCAGCGACGTCTGTAGAAAGAAACGTGTAGGTTTGGAGTTGCAGAGTGAAGGGATTGATCTGAGTTCACACACAATTTTCATCTGATGAGAAGAACGTTTGTCACGTTTGTGACCTGACAATTCAGACTGAACTCACATGTCAAAAGATCAGTCATTAAAAGATGAGATACAGGAGCATAGGGGCAAAAAAATCTGATTTGGGTTACTTCAGGCTGTAGTCTGAACGTAGCCTTAATATTATCACGATACAAACATTGAAAACTTGATACTTTTTGATAAGGAATAGATTCGCTACTCGATTGATTCCGATACCACGATGATTAAATTAAAACACTCTTAATTTAGAATGTGATTTTCAACAATAAATTGTAGTATTTTCTTGTATATTGACCTTTTATCTGTGTAATCCCTCAGTCAAGGAACAATATGTAGAGAAAAAAAACAAAAAAAGAAATGTTCAGCACCAGATGAGGTTTCCATTTGCTCTTCCAGGTTCCACAGTGGTCCATAAGTGTATACTAGTCTGTGTGCTCTTCTACTTGTTCTGATACAGCTCAACATCATTCTAAAGGAAAGGAAAAAGTTCAGAGAAGCTTCATTTCTGTCCTGTCAATGAGACTTTTTAGTATCAATACCTGCACAAATCTAGTTTCGATACGAGTTTTAGTATAGTTTAGTATCTGTTTTTCGATACTTTTGACAACCCAACTATTTTGACAACACTCCTTTTGTCCTTTTGACAGTGTACTTTGAATATAGTGGAAGGTATGTGGTGTTTGTCTTGAATCCGACTCCTCCGGGCATGTTTCTGAGCTGGTGGAGCGGAGCCAAGGAGCTGTGAACACACATTGACTTAACACAACCCCTCAGAGGACAAAAAGACAAGCTACGAGGACGTGTTCAGACAGGAGACGTGTCCCATTGACTTGTACCGAAGCATGCACAGTGTGTCTGAAGTGTGTGTGAAGGGGGGAGCAGAGGAGGGGTTAATGGGAGAGGGGCCGGGGCCAGTCTGTGCATGCGGCTGCTGCTGCGAGCGCGGAAAACACTGCGACACACAAAGAAGATCTGAGAAGGTCTGAGAGAGGGATGAAAAACGATAAAATCAGATACTAATCAATACTAAAACTAGTACGAAAACTAGAGAATCATTTGAACAGGTATTGAAAAAGCCCAATTCACAGGACAGAACAGAAATGAACCTTTAATAATTTTAGGATGATGTTGAGCACATAGACTAGTATAAACCCATGGACCACTAAGGAACCTACTGGAACACTGAGGGACACACACATATAAGAAAAGAAAGTACAAAGGCTTGATGTTGAAAATCACATTCTATCGTCTAAAGAAAGAACGTTTTTATGCTCATTGTGGCATCAGAATCAGTATTGAATATCAAGTCTAGTCCTTAGTATTGAAATCAAGTTTGAAGTTTTAGTATTGTGACAAACACCAGCTCGGACGGTTGTTTATGGTCAGATTAAAGTCAAACCAAATCCTAAATGTAAAGCTCTTGTATCTGTTAATGTGTGTGCTGGAATGTTCCACATTGCAGCATTAAGTTACACATCAGATCTCTGAAGAAGTGACTCTGTGCATTAGGGGTGTGCAAGAATATCGGAATATCGATATATCGTATCGTTTAATCGTGGGCTGCTGTATCGATATATCACCAAGAGTTTTTTTACGTGTGTTTTACAAAATTATTTTGTTACAGTGCTACAGTTTTGTTGCTTGTGGAGTGAAAGGAAACTCATTTATGCGACACATTTCACATTTTCACTGTTTTGATGATTAAAATGTTTGTGTTTCATATGAACTTTGCACAAGAAGTGGTTTAACAAAGACTTTTAGTATCACAGCCATGATTTAGTCTTTATTTTTTATTGAACTGTATCGAATCGATTTGAAATATATCATATCGAATCGAAAGTGCACTGTATCGGGATCTGTATGGTATCATGGCCTGTGTATCGAGGTATGTATCGTATCGGCAACTTCTTAATGATACCAGTCCTACTGTGTAGAGTAAGAATGCATGTGTGTGAAATTCCTCAGTCGTCCAGGTAAAATCAACAGCAAAAGGAGAAATTAAATTTGTCAACTGGACAAACGTGTATCAGGTCAAATATGTTTCTCAGTTCATCCAAGCTGCTTCTTCAGTTTATTTATAAGGGAAGCCCCTTCAGATGTAGCATCTCGTTTGCGAGGGGGTCCTAATACATTAACAAAAGTAGCATTTACAGAAAAGAAAGAAAAAACGAATCAAAACAGAACAAAAGACAAACAGACAAAGACAACATTCACACAACACACAGACAGTATTCATACTATACAGTCCAGAATCCTAAGATATACATACATCTCTCTGATTTGATCATCACCACACCTATATTTGTAAATTAGTGAAAAAAAAGCAACTCTATGTACAACAGAACGTACATAGAACAAAAATGTATTTTTATCAAAAACAGGAGCAGGATGTTTGTAAGTATCTGAAGACTGATGCCTTAAACTGGTGGATTGATGTAACTGATCGAATTGAGGAGGGTAAGTTGTTCTGTTCATTTGGAGCTTTGAAGTTAAATGCTCTGAGGCCAATTTCTTTTTTTATTATAGGAACATTAAAAAATATTTTTTCAGGTCTGGTCAGACGCTGGTGGACACTTCCTTATATCTGCCTGAAGGGAGGAGCTAACTACACTGAAACTACTCTGAAACTAACACACACTTATTTACAGTTTCTGTTTGTTAGCTCGGCCTATTGACCTTGCACGTGTGGCGTCATATTAGTAGAATCATTCATTGTCATTCAGCACCCATTATGGGCCTGAATGATTCTGCCAATCTGTCAGATATAAGGAAGTGTCCACCAGCGTCTGACCAGAACTGAAAAAGCAGCTTGGATGAACTGAGAAACATATGTAACCAAAATAAACTTTTGCCCATTTGACAGATTGAATTTCTCCTTTTGCCAGTAACAATGCCTGTTATTCAAGGTAATCTTTAGCAATAAAAACTGTGTTGAAATGAATACAATACAATACAATACAATGCAATGCAAGATGGACAAGCAAGTAGTGCACCTTTAAAGCTGCTATGTTACACAAAATTGACTCTTGTGAGCTTTAAGTCATGTTATAATGTTGTTAGTGCCTCAAAAACACACCTGGAGTTGTGTTTTTTCATTCACACATGTTTGAATAACTCTTTATTATTAGTTTGTCTGCAGTTCTAGTTCAAAATGCTCTATTCCACCTTGTGAGAGATTTACCACACGACATCACAAGGTGGACCAGAGTGTTCTCTATTTGAGAGAAGAACTCAGCCTAAATGTGCAGGGTTTGTGTGTTATGTATGAATAAAACAAAACACAACTGCAGGTCTGTTTGTGATGAGGAAACATTAAAACAGATCAGAAAATGGTGCAGTATGGCCCTTTAAAGCATCACAAGTTGTTGACTTTTGCATTGACTTTGACTCTCCCCAGTTGTGTTGTCAGTTTCCTCCCTTTGGTCGAAGAATGTGGAGCAAAATCTGCATTCTGCCAGAGCAGGGCACCAGGGGAAATCAGGTTTGCCTATCCCTCATCTCACATTCTAAATATGACCCATATCTCGGCTCTGGTTCTCACGTATAAAGTTAGCTGCAGGACTGTGTCAATACCACACACAATATCTGCTTTGAAGTCCATTGTAAAAGAAGTAATAGTACAAACCCTCCTCTGAAGGACTATTATTTCCTAAACTAGAGCTGGAGAGAGCAGACAAAATAATAAGGTGTGTGTAGTCCTTCAGTCGTCCAGGTCGGTTCCACCGCAAAAGAAAATTGAATTCTGTCACTGGACAAAAGTTTAAGAATAACTACATTTTGCAGCTCATCCAAGTGGCTTCTTCAGTTCTGACAGGGTTCTAGTGAGTCACTGTCTTAAATATGTGTCTGAAGTAGGGATGGGCATTCGATGAAATTTTCTTAATCGTCGGAAGAATTAACGATCGATTATCGATTAATCATTAACGTTTTTATATTAAAATGATCATCATTATTATTACTATCTGCACTACTAATCTGCATAAATAAATTCAACTTTATGACATATAAACCGTAACCACTCTAGAGCCAAATGAGCCCGTTTCACATTATAATGTGTTTAATTCAGTTTTGCACAACTCTCACAGAAACAAAACTTAAAACCACATCGCTAATTTGCATAAACTAAGCGAAGATAAAACTACAGCTCTTGTGTCGCTGATGCGGTCAATTTCTGTCAGATTAAAAGACACGACTCAGGTGAATACAGGTTAGTGTGACCATATTTGCGTTTGTCAAAACCAGGACACCGTACGGGAGGAGGGAGGTGGAGACTCGTCATCGACATTGCGCGACTCTCACCTCACAAAACTTTTTCCCACTGGACACTGAAACATATGTGCTGCTTTGTACACTGTGCATATGGACTCACACTTGTCCCGAACGCAACGGAAAGTCTGGAATTTCATCGTTAAATACACATTTGTGCTTCAGTACGTTGCAGACTGACCGACTGTTTGTGTCTCGCTCCTTCTGAGTGCAGAGACACATGTACAGACCTGTTTGGTCACGATACACACAGCAACCTACATTCGGTTTGTCGATTAAAATTTACGTAATCGATGAAATTCTTAATGGTCAATTATCGATTAATCAATTAATCATGCCCATCCCTAGTCTGAAGTGAGGAGCACCCTCTACGAGATACACCAAGAGTATCCATTATTAGTCCATTGAACTACGCTAACATGTGAACATAAACTGTACATATAAATGGACATAGCTAAGCCACAAGCTGCCATTTAACAAATAGGAAATGAGTATGGGTGCACTTCCAGCTCCATCAGCTCTGGTGTCTTGTCGATTTGAGCTACCTGTACCTAAGAACTACTGCAGCTCTAGTGCACGACCCCCAAGAGTAAAAGTTTAAATGTCCTGTCGATTTAAGCTCCCGAGGCACAGATGGGACAAATTTCCCTCCTTGGATCATGTGTATATATTTTTGAAATAAATGTTTGTTATAATGTTTCTTCTGTTCTCCCTTTTTCTGTCCTCGTCCATCATGACTTAGGCTGCGTTCAGACTGCAGCCTGAAGTGACCCAAATCCGATTTTTTGGCCTCTATGTTCCTGTATCAGATTTTTTAATGACAGTCTGAACCACACAGATCCGATTTTTTCAAGTGCGACCCAGGACACTTGGATATGTGCTCCTAAAACCGACACATATCTGATCTTTTGACATGTGACTTCAGTCTGAACGGCCAAAGTGCATTCATCCACCTACACGTTATCAACAAGCCACAAATGTCACTATTCTGCGCCGAAGGAGGTGAAAATTGTTAATGAACTCCGTGTCACTGAAGTGAAGCACATCACCACTCACCACTCTTGGCTCCGTCTCCACATCCACACGTTCCTTTCAACGGACGTTGCTGCCGCTGCCCCACAAAACACCACGGCCAAAAACCTCGTCCTTCTCCTTCTCAATCTCCTTAAATCAAGTAAGTTGTTCATGTTCTGGCTCCGGTACGAGAGGAACTTTAAAATCTCCAGGTGCTCAATGCTGCGTCCATGTTTGGACAACTTCCGTAAACACAGAGCACGCTCGCTGCGGTTGACGTCATCGTGTCTCCAGTGTGCAAGCGGGACACTTTCGGGCCCCTTAACATTCACACAGGGGATCACATTCAAGTCACATTTAATTGGAAATGTGAATGACCTAGTAAAAACATTGGATTTCACAAAAAATTGGAATTGAGCGTTAAGCCCTGCAGTCTGAACGTAGCCTAAGAGACAAGTCCATTGTTATTGGCGCTGTATAAATAAAACTGCAGGAATTTTCCCATCTTCAAAGCCCCCAGTGTCACAAAGGTGAGGTGTGCGCCCCCTAGTGGTGCATTACATTACATTTGGTAGAAGATATATATCTGTCGAAATGAGCTACCTCTACCCATATTCATCTAAATGAGTGAATAATGGTGATTGCACAGTGGGAGCATTATTCGATGGCAATATTGGCCTGTCGATATGTGCTCCCTTTAGTTTGAGCTCTGTTTGAACAGAATACAACTGTCCAAATGAACTACTTACACAGATTCATATAAACGAGACATAACTAACATATAAAGTGTGATTACCGTGTGTAAACAACATCAAATCTGCATCTCTAATCTAAAGAAAAATGTTGTAAAACTGGACAGGTTAGGCTTTATTAGATCTATACAACTGTATACGGAAAAAACGTAGGTCGCTTATTTCAACGGGGCAGCGTGAATCGATAGACGTCACTGTCGATTTAGGCTGCTGGGAGCTCATTTCGACGGGGCAGCCCATTTCCACAGAACACCAGCTTCAGTTCTCTTTGTACTGCTACTGTCAATCTTGAAATGTTCATGTTAACCAGCTCTACATGATCCTGGTGTTTTCTTTTTTTATTTCACTATTTTGTACATAAATCATTTCCTGATATTCCTAATATGGAACTCTACTGCAAATTCACCTCTACAACTGCTCGCCCCATGAGCTTCATTTGACTGGAGCCACTTCTGTACACATCTATGGTGTGAACTGTCCTCAAATCCTGTTTTGTATGATCGTTGAAACCCCTGGGTGCTCTCACTGCTGTGATCCTGTGATTATCTCCATTGTTGTGTTTGTTTTGATTTGGGTCTGAGCGCGATGTTGTAAGTGGTTGATAATTGGTACCTTAGACTCTCACATTTGTTTAGAAATAGATTGTTTTTTCTGACAAATATAAAACAAATGAAAGAGTACCAAAACGATGTCCCCAGCTCGGAGGTTGAGGGCCGTGGGGTCGTGGAGGTTCCAGTAGTCCTTCACCGCTCGCACCTGGAGAGAGCTGGACGCCTCTGCACAAACACAAACATAAGAACATGAAACTGTGAGACCTGGTCCCTGCAGAAGCCTGAGCCACACGTGTGTCTCTGAACAGAGCTAGACACGATGGACATGATGGACCAGGGAACACACAAATCTGAGTTTCATCCACTGACCTCTGAGCAGCTGCTTGATCTCACGACTGGCCGTGGACGTGGTGAACTGGTTGACGATGTCCAGAGCTGTCTGGTTGTACGTGTTGCGCATGTTGACGTTGATGCCCGCCTGCATAGAAAATACAAAAACACATTAAAAAAAAAAAACTAAAAAAAAACTAAGTAACGTCAAATCAAATCAGAGTCGATGAGTTCATACCATTCGAAACCCTTTTAGTTGAGCTCCGGTCTATAGAGCGCAATAAGTTTGTTGATCATCGAAACTCTATATTCTACTGACAGGGCATCAGCAGCTTTCACAAAGGTAACTTTTGTAGGAATTCTTCGTGTATTTTCACAAAATATGTTTTTCAGAATGTTTAAATCGTCAAAGCATCTAAAAGTTATCTTTGTAAGATAAATAATCCGATTGGTCAGAACTAGGGATGTAACGATATCCAAATCTCTCGGTACGATATTATCACGATATGCTTCTCACTGTACGATATTTATTGCGATATTTTGGAGAGGTTGATATCATTGTAGATAGGACGCTTTTTTACTTTTAAAATATCCTGACAAAATTTTGATGTGAATTATTTCTGTCATAATCCCGAGAATTCAAGTAAAAACATATAACTTTATGTTGCATGTGCTCAAATGAATCATGGGATATGTAGTTCCTGATGTTTACTGGCTACTGCTATAAAAAATGCATTTAAGCAAAGGAACTTCTAATTTGATATATTGTGGTGCCCCACGCCCACGGTATTATTGTGAGACTTTTGACGATACGATATCATGATATTTTGGTTATTGTTACATCTCTAGTTAGTCAGAATGGATCACATAGTGCATGTCTCTGTCGTCACACAGTGGGAGGAGCTAGCCCAGTACTCAGGAAGTAATGCAGAATGAAAACAGATTTTTTGGCAGATGATCACAGGTCATTGAAAACAACACATCATCTTTAGTTCATGTTCCAGATCTGATTCTGAAGGCTTTGTGGCTTAATGGCGAGTGATCAACACTAAGGGTACTGAACTCCGCCTCCGATTCTATATGTCTGTGATCTTTTGGTTGACAAAAGAACTCTTAAACTTACATCAAGCAGCAGGCGCACCACCTCGGTCTTCCCGTAGAGGGCGGCCTCGTGCAGTGACGTCCCGGCTTTAGTGGCTCTGTTGATGTCGATACCGGCTTTGAGCAGCAACCTACAGCAAAACACAAGCAATAAACACACTGTACGCCCAGGGGTACGAGCATCCACTCTGAACCATCTGTAACATGTCATTACCCCACCACACCACCACCACACCACCACCACACCCCCACCGCCCACCCAGCCCCTCCCCCCTCAGCTCAATGCATCAACACTCAGATGTGGGGGGTACGCAGTTACATTTACTTTTTGAAGACTTTTTAAAGTACGTGATGTAACAATAGTCCTACTTTTCTCTACTCTTCCCAACAGCTTTATATCAACAATCTGAAATGATTTGAATATTTGTGTTTCTTGCAGCGCTCTGGTCAATTACATTAAATTCCAATTATAAATCAGATGTTGCGTGCTGATAGTTACTCTTAATACTTACGTTTTACTCTTACTTGTGTTTTGTTGGACCACTACTTTACACTTCTACTTGAGTAATTTTGAAGTAATGTTGCTCTTACTTGAGTATAATCTTTGGCTACTCTACCCACCGCTGTCAACATGTAAACTTTGAACAATTTAGGAGGAGTAAATAGTACAGGGCGACGGCTGGAAGGAATTAACTCAACTATGCACACTCCTCTTCTGTTTCTATCAATCTTGTTTACATTTGACTCAGACATTTTAATTAAATGTGATGTCGAATTGAAAACATGCCCAAAAGAGGAGCTCTGCAACTTTTCTAGTAGAGGGTCTGTTATTGTTTTGCCTGGAATGTTCCACAGTATGGCATTAGGTTTATCATGGAGCTAAGCAGGTGCCAATCCAAGGCAAGAAGAAATGCAAGATTGTTACTGTGAAACATTCTCAGTAAATCAATGACATGTACATGGACACAAGCAGGTGATGGACCCCACCAGAAATGTTACACAGTGAGTCTTTAATGTACAGTATGAAAATTACACTGCAAAAAACTCAGTGGAGCTGAAGGTAACATCTAAACACATCATTACAAGCTGTTCTCTGTCACGGTGAAAGAGCTCTGAGTAGAGACGCTGCTCCTCATATAAAGGACGACTGTTTTGGTTCTTGGTGAGGACGTCCATTAGAGATGTAACAGTACAAATATCATGGTTCAGTACATACCTCAGTTTTGAGGTCATGGTTTGGTTCATTTTCAGTACAGTGTGGAAACAACATGCAAAATCATTTCCTTGTTGTTGTTGTTTTTTTTTTTTGGTGTTTTTATTAAACCAACAATTTGTTTTATACAAACTGTTATACAAACGGGAAAATAAAATAATTGCAAAGTGCTGCTTGGTAAAACTGATAAGTTCAATAAAATATTCTCACATAACAACAAATGTGTGAAATATATATATATATTTTTTTTTTAATTAATCCTTGTAAATAGTAATGAACATTTTTCAAAAAGTAAAGTGCAGCATTAACAGTTCCAGCCTGAAGTTTTATTCAATCTTCAGATTTTTAACTAGAAAAAACAACTTGTCCACAGTAAGAGCAGATCTGCTGCAGTTACAGTGTCACTGGGGGTGGAGATTCTGTACCGAAAGGTAAGAGTGATAACCAGGATGCATGTGGTTCAGAGGGATGTAGTCAAGGTGGGGGGCAGTTACTGTTAAGGCGGCCGCTCTAACTATAAAGCGCTGCAGGAAACACTGCCCCAATCACGGACAAGTTCCTCGTGAATATTAAAGAGCCGAGCCTCCGTGTAGCTGCACATGCAGTGGAGGAATGTAAACACACACACACACATTGCGCAAATTCATTCATGCACAGCCCTGCACCAAACCCAACTCCCTGTATACAAATACAATGTACTGTTACACCCTAATGTCCACGGATGTTATTTTAGATGTTATTTCCTTAGGCTTTTTGACTGTAACCTGTGCAGTCAAGACAAGACAGACTGTAACACAGTTTATGATCAACAATAATAATACACATATAGAGTTCGTTCGGCCCTGCCCATCTGTGTGCTCAGTGTCACTCACAGTCTGTGCATCAGATTTGACTTTTTAAACAGACTCATGAGATACAGGATTAATATATTAAGATGCCTTAAATGTTCCACAGTATGATCAGGGTTCTAACAGGTTTCTTCAAGTTAGTCTTTTTAAAACCTTTTTAAGATCATTTATATACAAATGTAATATCTATTTCACGGCCAATAGATCTACCAACAAAGAAAAACAAAACTCTTGGATTTGTGTCCATTTATTTCTCAAGCAAAGAAATATGGCGACGAGAAAGTCTTCCTCATAACTCCAGCATAAAATGTGTCGCTTGGTAATGTTAAGAAACAACAGAGCGGTGTTAGTCAAACTTTGTGTTCTGCTGAGATTTTCTTTAATTTTACTCTTCGGCTGAGCTTGTTGCTTCTGGAGCTGTAGCGTGTGATCTTCAGTGACGTGTTCAGAGGATTTTGACCCGGGGCTGCACTTTATTTAGGCGACGTTATTTAACCAAATCATGATGGTTGACAAATTAAATTTTTGAGGAAAATTGTGATATGGAGAAGTTACATACTGCACAAATTTTAAGACACAGATTTAAAAATTCAAGATTTTTTCACATCTTTTTTAGGTATTATTACCAAATTCATAAATTCAATGTGTTTAAGACTTTTTAAGACACCGTGGGAACCATGTATGACATTAAACATCTGTGGAGACAGACAGGTGATGACTCCACTTAGAATGAGAATGCATGTTTTCAAAGTTTATTTTAGATACAGTATACTTTATGTTTTTGAGTTTTCATTTAGAGAATTGTGTTCAAAACTGTAAGAATAAAAACTGCCACAAAAATGAGCCATACACAGTGACACACAGACAGATTTAAAATAAAACGATTCAGTGTCTCTTACTTTTGGACTGGATTGTGTGTATATATTTTTGAAATAGCTTGATATCTTGATTGTGTCATCAGAACTCTCACAATAACATCATTATCCATCACAATATATCGAATTGCAAGGTTTTTCACTTAAAAGTATTAAAAAAGAAGGAAGTGCATGGGCCATGATCCTTTACTTACTTTACTACATCACAAAATAACTGTTATTAAGCACTTTTAAATCCACACTGAAGACTGGTCAAGGGATTTAAAAAGGAAAACAAAAAACAAAAAACAGCATATGTACAATTCTGTTCACCTCTCCAAAATATCACAGTAGTTATTGTACTGTGAGAGACATATCGTGATAATATTGTACCATGACATTTGGATATCGTTATAGTTATAACGTTTCTTCTGTTGCCCATTTTTCTGTCCTCGTCCATTAAGAGACAAGTCCATTGTTATTAGTGCTGTAGAAATAAAATTGAATTGCAGGAATTGTCCCATCTTCAATGTCCCCAGTGTCACAAAGGTGAGGTGTGCGCCCCCAAGTGGTGCATTATTTGGAAGAAGATACAGTCAAAATTAGGGCCCGACGGATATGGATTTTGTTATTGCCGATATGATACTGATAAAATGGGAGTGAGAGCTGCCGATATAATCGCCGATATATTTAGTGATGTAAAAATTCACTGTAAATCTTGAATTGTTTAAAAAACTTAGGTTTGGCTCTAGTGGATTCTAAATTGGGTTTATTTAGGCAACATTTATTGTTATTCTGCCACTTTACATCATATTTACAGACAGTAGGTCAGACTAATGGCATTTTTACATCACATTCTAGCTACTAGTGATGGGTATTCCAGTTCTTTTTAGAGAACCGGCTCTTTTGGCTGGGCTCACTAAAAGCTGCTGGCTCTTTCGGCTCCCAAGCGACTCTTCAGATTGTTTTGTTGCAAGCAGGACTAAACCAGAACTAAACCAGGACTGAAAAAGGACTAAACCAGGACTAAAACAGATCTAAACCATGTGTAAAACAGGACTAAACCAGAACTGAACCAGGACTGAGTGTTGGGACTCGGTCTCTATCTCTCTCCGTGTCTTGAGCCCAAGATTAGTCCTGGTTTATTTATTTTACGCTGAACTACAGCCAAACATGCACGTTTTTTTTATCCTATGCACGATTTCTGAAAGTTTTGTTTTGAGCCGCTGTCAAACTACCACGAGTCTGAACGACGTGAAGAGAAAAAGTGAGAGAAAGAGAAAACAAGGCTCCCAAAAAGGAGCCGGCTCCCATCGTTCGCTTCAAAGAGCCGGCTCTAAGAGCCGCTTCGTTCACGACCGACCCATCACTACTAGCTAGTAAAGAAACTACCGCTATTAGCCTTTAGCTGTAAATATTGCGCGCCGTGATAATTAATTATATGCATAAATGTCATAATTCACACGTCTATTCACAGCTCATTTACATATCAATGCAAGTCCAGTAACAAATATACGGACAATACAGTCACTTTACAATAGACCAACAGAAAACAGCCTGTTTATGTGTGGGAGCTACAGCAGCTAATCGCTAATAACAAATAGCCAAAACTAGCTTCAAAATCGACATATTTCCAACACTCAGCCTCACACAGGCTCCTCCTCACATCACAAGTCTGCACTAATAAATGTCCTTTTAATCCAGACTCAAACCGATTGTCTGTAAAAAGAAAATAATCTCAGTGTTTGGATCTGTGTCTGCGGGTGTAAACAAACACACGTGAGTGACGTCACTCTGTGGGTGTGTTCAGGGACAGTACGGACACACACGTACCAAAAAACATTATTGCCCAAGTAGACAAAATCTTATTTGACTTTATCTGGAAGAAAAAAACACACCTCATTAGAAAAAATGTAATGATTAATAATTTAAGTAATGGTGGATTTAACATTCTAAATTCAAATAATTAATTAATTAATTAATTCAAAATTAAATTGATTAAAAGATATTTATTGAACCCAAATTCATTATGGAATTTCATTTCAACACATATATTTGATGCATTAGGAGGTTTAAATTTTATTCTGAGGTGTAATTATACCATTGATAAGCTTCCAATTAAACTTTCTAACTTTCACAAACAGCTACTGTTATGTTGGACTTTAGTATATAAGCACAACTTCTCACCACAAAAATATTACATATGGAATAACAAA